AAAACTCATTCGAGTTTGTTACATTGCAAATACGGACAGATCCTACAGCGGTAATGAAAGAGGAAGAGGAATCATTCGCCATTTTAACTGGTAGAGGATTAATGTCGCGTATAGTAATGAATTGTGACCAATTGTTGAAAACATGATGCGTCGCACCGGTATCAAAAATGACAGTAGAAGGGTCGTAATCAGTATCCAATTGAGAAACCAGAATGTGCCTGATGTTAACGCACCCAGTGCTGTCGATGTCGGCGAATTGGGGTTCCACAACTCGTGTTTCCGACGATGAGGCATTCGAAGAAGATTTCTTCTTGTTCTTCTCATCTCTAATAAGAATCCTACATTCCTTCTGTTCATGTCCTTTCTTCTTGCAATAAAAACATTTAGATTGAGATCTGCTAAACTTCTTTCCAATTCCGACAGATAAACCTTCAGCAACACCTACATTTCCACGCCTATGCTCAACGTCTGCTGCACCTATAGCCCAAGTCATGTTCGATGAACTGATAGTCGCCAATGGATTGGATCGTAAAGTCGATTCAAATGTGTGAGTCACATTGGGGAATCCGTTTGGCATGCTGGTTGCCAAGATTGCAGCGAAAGAGTCGTCCGAAATCCACATCCCAGAGCGCTCTAGTTTACGTCTGATACCCGAGATCTTGGCGATGTGAGAGTCGATGGTCATGGATGATGGGTCGTAGGTTGTCGCGTGAAGCTCCCGATATAAGGAGATCCTGCTAGCGTAGGTCTGGCCAGAGAATTGAGCCTTGAGGTAAGCATAGCGTTCAGAAGGGAGAAGTGAAACCTGATCTAAACGAAGACTAATGTGTTTGTCGATAGTCCAATGCATTAAACCCACAACTCCCTCCGCGTAATCGTCGCTCCAGTTTGGCAAATTTGGCATAGCACCCGGTTCGATGTAAGGAGCACATCCAGGAAAAGACTTCAATAATCTTCTGAAATCGGCATCCCAGATGTCGAAGTTGTTGCCATCGGATGCTAGACTGGTAAGTCTGTCAAGCTTAATTGGACAGTTCTTCCATAAAGCCGAAAAGGATTTATTGTTTCCATCGCTGTCGACGGTATTGAGAGTCTGGAAAATGTTTTGAATGTTTTGTTGAACGTTCTGCTGTTGTCCAACATTCTGTTGATGTTGTTGAAGAGTTTGATTGAGTATCGGAGGTTGGTTCGTTCCGACAGTAGGATTTTGGTTGTTGGTCAGTTGACCTTGTCCTGCTCCAGCGGCCGTGGATTGGATGCCTTCCATGGTTGGGTTTTGTAAGGACTGGTCTTGGTTTCCTGATTGGTCTGAATCAATGATATCTTCAATCCACGAGGTAGTGTCACGGTTGATCGTTGATCCGCTTTGTGCTGTTTCAAAAGAGTCGTCGATGTCCGATGGTAACGTGTAGCTCATAACCTGTAGAGCGGGACAAAACTAGAGAACTAGTGTTAGTTCTAATCTACCGAAACAAATAGGAAAATGTGACAATTGCATAAAGATGAAACTTGTTCTAACCTAGAGAACTAGTGTTAGTTCTAATCTACCGAAACAAATAGGAAAATGTGACGAAAGAAAAGCTAACAAGTTTTAGGAAAACAATGGAACTTTTTATACAAAACACGTTTGACGTGGCGTTTACAAAAGACGAATTAGGAAGAAAAGAAACCTAGTTTAGATCACAATCATCTGAACACTTCTAACCGGTCTAAACCGATCAAGGGTGAGAAAAGGGGCTGAGTGGCTTGTCCTCTACGATGCCAAGTCAGTCCGGGCCTTAACAGAAATTACACAGCAATACAGGCATATGTATAAGCATAGCCTTGTACTGGTACTGAATTTCAAACTGGAGATCCGACCGGATCAACAGCTCACCTACACATTCCATCCATACCACTTCCTGATCTCTTCATCGATCTCGTCCACCTCTTCTTATTTTTTCTAATGTCCTTTTAAGATGCCTTATGTTCAATACACCGCCCAAATCAAAGTCATCGTGTTAACCAAGTTCATGGCCGGACAGACTGTAAAATCCATCAACGACGACCTACTCACATCCATCTCACCGCGATCATTCTCTCGATGGAAGATCCTTTATAACGAGACTCAAGCCGTCGTCAGGAACCCAAATACCTACGAGCAACGTGGACAAAAGACCATCCACTCAGACGTCGATCGAGAGTTCATGGTTGAGCTCATCGAAGCCGATCCGGCTCTCTTCCTAGACGAAATCCAAGCCGCGATGTTCAATCACACTGATCACATTGCTTCTCGAGCTACAATTGCAAATGACCCTACGGAACGCTTATTTCTCACCGTTCACAAAGCAGCCAAAGTCGACATTAATCAGTCCTTCGAACGCCAAGCAGTCTACTCGGGTGATGTTGCTCATTTAGCACCTGAGTGCTTGGTATTCTTAGGTTAGTGAACGTTTTGTTTATCCGTTTCAAAAGCTTTGTTACTGATGTGATTAGATTTACCTGTTTAAAAGATGAGACTGGCATTCGACCTCAAGACGTGCAACGTGACAAAGTCAGATCCAAGAAGGGGGAACGACCGAACGCTATAAGACGTACTAGAGCCGGGTCCCACTACTCCATGCTAGCGGCAATCTGTGAGTTGGGATTACTGGCAGTTAATGCCAAGCTGGGTGCCTATCACCGACCCGAATTCAAAGCCTTTCTGAAGCACATTCTAGTAAGTTGGTCAATCTTTTTTGTTCAATTCTTATATTTCATCAGATTCATGAGCTGATTATCTTGAAATTAATCAAGCTTCCCATCATGGCACCGTACCCAAGTCGAAACTCGGTCTTGATCTTGGACAATGCGACAATCCATCGCTGTGGCGTCATCGAGGCGTTGTGTGCGGAAGTAGGCGTCCTTATTGTCTACTTATCGCCTTACTCGCCGTCTTTCAATCCGATCGAATGAACATTCAAGGTGTTCAAGGATGTTCTCCGTCGGAATGGGCTATTTGCTCAGGCTGTCGACAAGCTGGGTTGTATGATGAGTGTAATGAGTGAGGTCTGTACCAGCACATTCATGGTCGGTTTATATAAAACTTGTGGTTACAGACTCTTTGATGATGTTGTGTTTTAAATTGTTTGTTTTCAATGAGGTGTCTCAAAATGTTGTGGACGAGGTGTTTTAAATTGTTTGTTTTCAATGAGGTGTCTCAAAATGTATTGTCCTTTTACCAAAAAATACTTTTATTGCAAACCATTCCGTGTGATTGACCAGAATAACACAGAATAGTTGAGTGAGGAAGATGAATCCACACTAGAGAGTGAAGCCTCAAATGTTTCAAGAACATCAAGTCAAAACTTTAAGATTTCTCTTAAGACTTTTGAAACATGAGATTACCACAAGACCTTTCAAAAGTCTTAAGAGAAATCTTAAAGTTTTGAATGAAAAGAAAAAAACTAAACTTTGAATAACAAACTCTCACGTGGGACTTGATTCATGAGGTGGTTTTTGTATCAAATTGTTCACCAAAGAACAATTTTATTACACAAACAAACATTCATTTCGTTCAAACTTGACAGACAACAATAGAGGAAGTAATTTGGCTATAGTATACTGTGGCTACAACACGATAATCTTACTCTTTCACAGGAGGAGACCAGTACATTTTTTTTTGATTGAACAACATTGGAATTAGAAAGTGGGATTTTTGTTCTTCTTGAGGATATCACGATAGATTGGTGCTTTTTCATGAAGTCAAAGACGGGGTCCAAAAGCAAACCCAAACCCAGCCATTACCAAGCAGCTGAGCTCAGACGATAAAAACATCTCGAAGTCGACGATGTCATACTTTGTGAGGAGATCGCAAGTTTCGTGGTCGTCGGGGCTGATTGAGCAAAAGGTGAGATACTCTTCAAAATCAGGGAATGGCCTTGGGGCCGGAGAATCGGTTCGAGGTGCAGCTCCAGCTGCAGTTCCTTGGTTGCTCGTCATCGCAAGCAACGCACCAAGTGAACTAATGCTCGAGTTCTGATTGTTGGAGCGGGCATTGCTGATGGGTAGCCACTGGAACTCCTTTCCGGAAGGTGGTGTTTTGATGGTGACTCCTGGTACCTTATTCACCTGGGTCAAAAGAATTAATAGAAAATTAGTTGATAACCTTTGTGCAAAAAAAGAACGAAAAAGATTACTTACGATTGCTTTTGCCCAGATGTCGAATGCTAGATGTGACAGATGCATCGCCAAGGAGGAGTCTTTGGTGTTGATCATACCCATGCACTCTCTCCCGCCAATCGAGGTAGTTCCGTACATGGTCATTAGCATGACTTGTTGGGCCTGAACCTTGGCATCAACTTCGATGCTCTGGTTCAAATCAATGATAAAGATCGATTAGCAATAGAATGAACATTGAATGGAAAATGAAAAAACACTCACCGACATCTCTACCACAGCTCTTTCGTCATCATTCAACGCATCAGGAATGTTGTGTTGCATTGCACGATTGAACTTCAATTCCTGATGCGTTGAATGTGTCAGTATTAGATAGAGATAGAGATGAGAGGAAACAGAAATGTAATTCACATACCTTACTGTCAGTCTGAGCTTGCACTTTTGGGTTGTCCATGTTGAGAGAAAACCCAACCTCGTTGGTAGGCTTCTTGATCATCATCGCCTTGAACTGATCGAATATTTCTTCTGAGTCGATTATTGGCTCCAATGACTTACCAAAGACCCCACCATGATAGATGTAACCTTTAAGGGTTACTCGTCGTTCAGCGTCGGCATCACTGAGTAAAGTTCCACATCCGGATCGGTTCTTGTTGCAGGCCATGAAAAGCGATCTCTTCAATTCAAGAAGAGAACGCCCATGGATGTTGATGAGGATGTCGAAGGCCGGCTTGGTGAGATAGTTGGAGTAAGTCACAGGTATTCCGGATTGTTTCTGAGCGTCTGTGAGATTGTCAGCTATGTAAACATGGAAGGCCAGCTTGGCTCGGGTTGGCTTGAATTCAGGGATGGCCGCAACGGGCGATTCAGAACTTTGAGTCACTTGCGGAGCTGGACTTGGCGAAGCAGTCAAATCCACATTGACATGTCGATCTGGAAGGATCAATGTCAGTTTCTTGATCTATAGGTTTGAAAAGAAAAGATGATTGACTTACTAGAAGCAATCACAATGGATCCTTGACATCCTAATGCTTGACCGCCAAACGTAGGATCCCGATGGACCACATTCAAAACACCGTGATGATGTTCTTCAACAGCCGGTATAGGAAATTCAAAGCCTTGGTGGCCTACTGGAAAAACCATCGGTACAATACCAGCATCAACATTGATTTCTACAGGTGAATCAAAGGTCAGTTTGTTTCGATGTGAGAAAGAAGTGAGATTAGAAAGAAAACTCACCGGGATGAACATTGAAAGGGCAAGCGAATTCCCGGAAGCCAGGCTCAGCGAAGGGATCAACATGAACTAAATCGGTATCGCGATATTGTCGTTTACCGTATCGACCGTTCTCCCAGTGATAACCGGGTCTAAAAACCGTCAGTGAGAGAGTCAGCACTTCTGAAAACCTTCATGAAAGAAACCAAAAGACAAATCGCTCACTTATCAAAATAGTAAGGAGTCCCAGTCCTGCCAACATCAGGACTGAGGCCTTCTCGTCCAGCCTGACGAGCCCGACGCCACGCACTACGAAGATCAATTGTTAGTGTCGATTATAGAAAGATGGGATCGAGGCAAGAAAGAAAGAGAGAAAGAGATTTGAAAACTCACAAATCTCGCTTTCTTGCTTCTTCTTCTTCGGCCATTTCCTTCTTAGATTTTCGCGGCATGGAGGTATTGGATGGGTATTGGTGGTATTGGATGGGAATCAAGGGAAAGAGGTGGTGGGATTGAGGGCAATGAGGTAAAAGGGTCAACAGCCCAAATTCAATCGAGGGTATCTCGATTGAAGGCTATGTATGCTTATACATATGCCTGTATTGCTGTGTAATTTCGAAATAAAATCTGTCACTTGGTCAAGCTTTTCTGAGATGACTGTAGTTGTGATACAATACTACACTGTCTTTTGGCTGTTGATATCTATGCCTACAAATTCAGCCCCAAAAGGTGTAGTGGTAGAAGGCTTGGGGAACCTTCAAGACAAACAAGAACTTGCTTCAAAGGTCTTGAAAAATGAAGTTGTTCAATATCAACATAAGTGATACCATTTTGAAGGCTCTAATCTTTGACAAACTGAGATGGGAGTAGATTTACAGAGTTTTACTTCAGACTCAGACTTAGAAATCAAGTCAATTAAGCAAAAAAACAATTCATATTTTACTGAAACCAATTGTTAAGACAAGATTGAAGCAATAACATCTAAGTATAGCAATGACAGAGATATCACAAGTATATTATATAGGCTTAGCAGCTTGATTCATCTCATTGGCCCATTGAGCTTGTAGTCCAATGCCTGCACATCAAAGACAGAGAAACAAATTAATATTGTTGATCTAGACTCATATCTGATACTCAGAGCACATTCATACGTACTAATAGTTCATGTGGACGTAATTCCAACATAAAATGGCATGTGATCCCACGAGCCTTGAAAGCCTTGGCCAGTGATTCATCTATGATCCTTTTGCGCCAACCAGTAATACAAATAAAATGTTTTAAATTAGTGGGTTTTTGAAAACTATCATCTTCTAAAGCCCATTTCCAATATATTCTTCCAAAGTGAATTTCAGCAGCAAAAGTTCGAACGCTTTGCAGGATTGGCCATTGGAGCCAAGAATAATCTGGAAATAATCCAGATTCTAACCAGAATAAACTGCGCATTACACGAAGTCGTGGAAATCTCATACCAATAATAGCGTTTGGAAGGTGTCTTGGAAGAGTTGTACAAAAAAGACCTTCAAGAGATTCCTTCATAGGTTCAATGGCCATTCCGAGGTCTGATAGTTCATTGCCTACGTTGTATTCAATTACTTTTACACTATCTTTGACGGCATTGCACAGTTGAGAAACTGCCTCAATATTGGTACTAGAGCTTCGAAACCACAGGTGCTTTAAATTTGGTAAAGCTTGAGGTTTTAAATTCAAAACGTCTAAGTGAGAGAAGGAGATCATCAAAGATTCTAATGTAGGAGTAGCATTGAGTAGAGCGGATATCGATTCAGAGTCGTTGTTCCTTTCACGGCGTTGATCAACGAATATCCTCAATTTCTTCAGAGATGAGATTTCTTTTATGGATCTCAACATATATGGTGATATTGTTATTGACCTACTAAACCTTAAGGTCAATTCGATCAAGTTGTGACCAAGTAGGATAATCGCGTCTGCCGCCTGATCTATCGAAACTGGACAGGACCGGTGAACGATTTCAAAGTTGAGGAGTTGCCGTTGAGCGTCCTGCAATTCCTCAGCTGAGTTTTCACCATGAGATGCCCCCGAGTACCATATATTTGCAATTCTAAGTTTCTTAACTGGTAAAGATTTTTGAGTGTGACCGATTGAAGTTCTACAGGTGTGAAGTAAAGACTTCACCCCGCTTGCTTTATATAAATAAACTGTATGAAAAGCAAAAGGTGTGGCAGCAGTGCACCAATCTTTGCAAACTAATCGCAAAATATTAATATCCCGGATGGCAGTTGGTAAAATGATGGCTTCGTCATTGGTATTTATTGCAAAAGGTAAGATCTCGGTTTGAGCCACGAAGAATTCAATGATTGAAGTCAATAATTCGATTGGAAGCCAGCCAGCTCCAAGTTTGACATTGTTTTGAGATGAGTGATTTGACATTTTATCTGGGGGTGAGTTTATGAGCATTTGAATCTGAAGCAGTCGTTCGTCATTAAGTTGAAGTGACATTGGAGGTTGAGGATACAGTCGTTTTCAAAAAGCTTGCCAGATTGGTCAAGTCCTCTGACTCGCACCTGATCCGTGCGCTCGCTTACAGAACACTTTAGTTCCAACCTTCTTTTATTTTTTGTAACTTTCTTCCATCACGAATCTCTCCGTGGGACGAAACATCATCCAACACACCAACCTACGATGGAACCGGAGAACTCTCACTATCACATCCTCAACTACTTCTTTGATTAGACTCCTCCCTCACCCCCTTCCATCTCAGTTCAAAATTATCTATTTCTGGATTTCATTCTTGCAATGCCGTTTTGCAAGTATCCTGAAGGCATCAAGTTACTCGCCGTCCAAATGGTCTCAAAAAGCTGCTTTTGATCCGAGCTCAATCAGTTCTTAGCCCGTTCAATTTCAAGTCGGTCTTTTGGATGATGGTGAGAACTATACCAACCCACTCACAGATTGATTCGGAATGTCTCTGTGCTGTTGAATTGTTGAGGAAAAATCACTTTGTTGAGCTGATTGAGATCAAAATGTCTACTACTGAATCGATTTTTTGATGTATTCTAACTGGTGTTTCTTTGTTGTCGATTTCTTTTGTTTCTTACATTTCACTTCAAACAATAATGATCAATTTGTGATAGTCTTTTTTGGTTGTCTGACTTGCAATGATATTCATTGTCTCTTATAGAGCACCTTCTTCTCAACTTCCTTTTTGTATTTTGACTCTCTGCTACACAATGGCAGCTTGCACTTGAACAAGGTTTATCAGGTTTTCTCAATCTATCGGCAGGAATGAAACAAAACTTCACAGCTCTGATCTTCTAAACAAGTTAAAATCTTCGGATTCTGATGATATGATCATTATTCAAATCCGTTAGCCATTGAGATGATCAAGATTATTAAGAATCAATGGTTCGGTTATGAAGATTTAATGTGGTATTTAAATCCAGTTCAACTTCAATCTTGTCCTCATGTAACTCATGTTCATGTCTTTGTCAAAACAAGCTTGATCGAAAAGGTAAATTTTATCACCTTAGAAAAAATTCATTCAATCCTTTTGTTATTTGACATTCAAGGAGGGGATTGTTAACTTCTTTTCCACTACAAACACCTCACGATTCTTGGATTTTTATTTGTACAACCATTTTATTGATTTTGTTCATGTTCATGGTGCATCTCCCTTCTTCGTCTTTCTCATGTCCCAATTCATTGTACTTTTAGTTGTTAATATAATCACAAAATGATTTCAAATAATTATATGGTGTTGATTTTTGAGTGAAGAACATTTCCATCGGACCAAACATGAAAAGACTACAAATGACATGAAATGAAACAAACACTTTCAGTTGCTTTGAGTATCCTTCCTATAAAGCTCTATATCTGATCCGACTCGGTAGGTTGATAAGATCCGATCACTTATAATCCAGAGAAAAATGCTTTTTTTCAATCACCACATCATTTGAAGAAAATTCAAAATCTAAACTCACAAATCACACCAGCGATTATGATATATAGGCTAAAGCAATATGTATAAGGAGAGAAATGTTCACCGATTCTAGAAAATTTAAAAAACAAACCTAAGAGAGTAAGAAGAAAATCAAAGCCGAAAAAATCAAGTCATTAATTTTGTTAAAAAAGGGGTATTGTTTGGAGAAAAAACTATGTAAAAGCAACTCACTCATGTTTGTTTCTATCAAGTAAACTTGGACCTGTTGATTGTAAGTAAGTGCATGTACAGATGATGAGCAAAATCACCGGTAATAAAGATTGAAAGTGGAACAATACTGACTATAGTTTATTTTGTAAGAAGATGATCTGATTAGTTTGGTTTCGACTTTCTGAGGTCTTGGGGGTTGAAGTAAATGAGATGTTTCCATTTTTGATTTCGACTCTTGAGACTGATGCTGATGAATTGAGATGAGGGTTGAATCAAAGAAAAAATCGAGGATGGTGATAGTGAGAGTTCTCCGGCTCCATCGTAGGTTGGTGTGTTGGATGATGTTTCGTCCCACGGAGAGATTCGTGATGGAAGAAAGTTACAAAAAATAAAAGAAGGTTGGAACTAAAGTGTTCTGTAAGCGAGCGCACGGATCAGGTGGGAGCCAGAGGACTTGACCAATGTGGCAAGCTTTTTGAAAACGACTGTAATTACATCCTTTCATCAAATCACTTCCTGTTTGGCTGTTTGGTCAGCGTGTTCAAGTTCCCCACTCTGTAGATGTCCAACTGCTTAGAATAACCGAGTCCGACCCTTGCCCGGCTCATACTGGTACCTGGCTTGTATACACAAAGGAAAAGAAAGCCTTTCATCTCACCCTTTATGTTGAGAACCATCTCGAACTTATGTAAGAAGTTATGCGCTTAGCATGCCTTTTCTGGTCCACACAAAGCCCTTGGAACTTGCAATACCTGAAAAAAGCCAATGGAGCAAAAAGCAACTAGCCCGTGATCTGTTGTGAGACTTTACTTTTCACGACGAAAGACTTGATAACCTCTTCACAAAAATATCATCAGACTTTTATTGATGTACACTATATGGGCAGTGGGGACTCCGAGGGAGGGCCGTTACCTGCTCTGACCAAAGCCAGTCTCACAAATAACATTCCTGTGTCATCCCACAAGGCAGAATCGTGATATTTGTTTTCCACCCGCAGCCTACACAAATCGTGACTGTCAAGGAAGAGCTCGAAAAAATGCATGTAATATATATACTGAGGTGCTAGCATCACACCTGAAAATCTTTGATAGTATTATTTTACATATTTCGATTTCAAAGAAGTGAAAGGTGGTTAAATAAAAACTTAACCAACAACTGGCTCAATCATAAACCTTTTATTTGTCCATAACCCGTGGTAACAGCTTTTCGTGCTTTGCACATCAGGAAGTGGTATGCCTTGCGCGACTCAGTACCTGTGATTTCAATCAAAGCTAACTTCAGTATGTAAATCTCATCAGGACCGTGATGAAAAAGATCTAGAAAGCCTCACATTGCTTCGGAATTGGCACCTTTCGGTTTAGTAAGTTTAACAATATTTTTGTGTAAGAGGTCAGTAAGACAGGTATAAATATTTCGAAGATCTATGGCATGTTGTTGGATAAGGTAAGAAGCTTTTCTATCATGCTCTTTCTATCAAAGATAATTGCAAAAATTCAAGTAAGAATACTTCTTCTTGAAAGATACCATCGTAAGGCTAAAAGATCATGTACTCACAAGCGCCAATTGATAATCTTCGATGTTAGGGTATTTAACTAATTTAGAAGCTAGCTTTGCACGAGCGGCATGATGCTTGAACTGCGAGTCTAGTAAGCTAATTGAAAAAATACAAGTACATCATAAATTTCAAGAACGCCCATTTGTGAAACATTGGAATGAAAGATGACTCAACTTGTAACCACTGTCTTGTGCCCGTCCAAGCTCGGCTAAACATTCTTCTTGAACTTGAACTCCAAAGGTATCACCGTCCTCCTTCATGTTGTTTGACTCATCTTAGTGATCATGTCTCCTAGCAAGGATATGATTTGAAGTTAAGTTGATAGGTGATGCTACATACGATTTTGGGGACTAAGAGATTGAGGTATATCTTGATATCGTTGGTGATATTTATTAAGTCTTCCCAATGTTTTCTCATTGAAACGTATTGCGAGTTGACCCCGACATTAGAGGACACGTCTGGAACGTGATGGTGCATTGTAAGGGCGATTGAGAGCTTGGACTTGAATAAATAAGGTAGTTTGCTTACGAGACGCGTTTTTTATGCCACCAAGACCTGTTGGAGATTCCGGTGGGTGCGAGGACGCAGAGGTGGCAGTTTCCTTTCCGTTCGCGACTTTCCTCTTTTTACGGCCAGAAGAAGGTGCCTCTGTTTCGACCACAGGCGAAGCCAAACCAAGCTCAGGACCGGGAAGATGGTTATCCTTCACCTGAAAGCAAGACCCTTCGTCTATCATCGCATTAAGAGCGAGAATCTTTCAAAATCAATATCAACCAAACTGCATCACCCATCGTTAAAGTATTAGATGAAACGAACCTTGGCAGGTAGACCAACCCTTATGGCTTCTGTACCTTTTCTTTCGAGTTGATTGGTCCAGCTTCGTAATGCGCTTTGTACATCTTTGTCTGAGGTCTCCATCCAAAGCATTTGACTCGGAGAAGACGTCATTGTCGATCACTGCATAGGTATTTATCGAGATCAAAAGCAAGGTTGGGGGAAATCTTTGGCTTCTGAAACAATTTCAAAGTGGATTTTGCTTTCAGAAAGGGCCGAGAAAGGACCGAGGATGATTAGTATGGTACCGTACATGGACCGTGATGACCAGGTCTGCGTGGATGTAAGACTACATGTAAGTCTTTATAAACCCATGATGACAGCCCATAAAAAATAGTTGACGACCACAGTCAAAATACGATCATCAATCCAGAACACCGTCCAAAGTTTTGCGTATGAAATGGCTTGATATGAGGATTTGATCAAGATACCTCGGTAGTGTGTTAAGCCTCAATCCGGATCAGAAAATATACAAACTCTAACTTTTTCAGACCCATTGTGTTATCCTGCTATGTTTCAGTCAGTTCCACTCGAGACGAGTCTTCCATCATCAATCACATAGAGTTCATTATGGTCAATTAGCTTCCAAAACTGAGACTGCGTTGCAATTTAATTTTCAGGTAGTCTTTGAAAGCAAAAACCGAAGACCAGTTTGTACTAACATAACCATCACTTTACAATATCAGAGAGGACTTGTTCTTAGAGTTAGAGCCTGGAAAACCGGGCTCCAATGAGGTTCCTGATCGTATCGATCACTTCAAGTTCAACATCATAAGCTAAGTCGTAAGCTAGCAAATGGAAAGGTAGAGTAGACGCCAAGAGCCTCAGGGGTCTCCAAGACTGCTTGATTTTGTTCAACGCAATCCAGATCGGCTTTCGCCGAATTGATGACATGGTCAATGAGCGTAGACCTAAATCGAGCTCGAGACCAACAACCTACAGGAGGGTAACTTGAAAGGTCATCAAATCTCCTAACTCCGAAACTTTTTTCTTCAAAATTATGTAGTAAGGAAATAACAGGTATGTCTTTGTCTTAGGTGTTGGTTTAGTCATCGTAAGCTGGATGAATCAAATCGGATATAATACACAATCAGCAATTGGTGGATGGATGGATAGATAAATCATCTTGTCAAGAAGTGTTTGAAAGAAAGTCGTCAAATCACGATGACCTTAAATTTTGGTTATATGCTCCGAAGTCTCTCTTCATCAATAAACAACCATTACCATGAATGTTTTTCTCCGAGTCCTAGTAGCTACCGAATGAGTGGGGCATATCTTTAACACTCTACATACACAGCCGAAATTTATTTGCCGATCAGAGGAGTTAGTGATAGTTATTTCGATGAGAAGAACTTGAGCTCACGAGATCGGTGTTGATATCATTTTGATCTTCAACCCATGATGACTTGATGGATAATCAGATTGAAGTACTGGAATATCTTCAACCTCTACAATGGGATCACGGAAGTACAAACTAAGGAAACTTATGATAGTTAGAATATCATCCCTTCTTTTGCAAAAACAAAATATACAAAAACAAAACACTTGCCTACTTCATAATCAAAATCATCACGTTCGGCATTAAACTCTAGACTTGATTTCTTCATAAACATATCCGTCAAATTTCGACCATCTTGACAATTTCTCACTTACTGTCTTTCGTTTCTCGTTTCCTTTGGGCGCGCTTGCATCTCTTTCTTTAATTGAGAATTATCCTATTTACTGGGACGTTCTCGACCACATCAATATGCAGTGGATCCATGTCATCCCAGCGGTGTTGGTCATGTCGACCATCTTAAATGTTCAAGCCGGAAGATTTTCAGTCCCAGAAAGTGTTTCCGCATCTGAAGATCAGTCAAGTACGGGTCTCATCGATATCAACATAGAGGTTCTTGATCGAGCTTCGAAAGCGTCAACTCCAGCCAGATCATATCAATCAAATCCAGTGGAAAGTTACTCAGCAATCGCTAAAGAGATTTATCAACGAGACCGGAACCGAGCACATCATTTGAAGATACCAGCCGATCAGCAGACTCAGATCAGTCAAGCTGCAGGTGACCCAGGGCAAGGACCTGGCTCAACTGTTGTTGCTACGAATGCAGTTGTGAGTTACTTGGCTGATATTAAAGTAGGAAGTCATGGACAGTCTTTTAAGCTTATCATAGACACTGGAAGCTCCAACGTAAGTACCTTCAGGCTCAATCAATCAATGCTCTCTAAACCTTCAAGTCACTTATATGGGTTAATCTCTTATTAAAGACTTGGGTAGGATCTGGGACACGACTTGAAAATTCTGAATCAACTATTCCAACTGGTTCTACTTTTTCAGTAAGCTATGGGTCCGGAAGTGCATGGGGAACTGAAGTGTTGGAAAAAGTATCAGTATCATCTACGATTTCTGTCAATCAATCTATCGGGATTGCATCAGAATCATTCGGATTCAATGATGTTGATGGGATTTTAGGATTAGGTCCAAGTAAACGTAAGTCTTCATTAAGCTGGTTTTTTTCTACACCGGAGTATTTAACTAATCCTTCACATTGATTTTCTATATTCAGTCACGGTAGGGACTCAAACTGAGCCTAAAAAGCAGATACCTACCATCATGGATACCTTATTTCATGGTTGGTGGATTTTGTTTTTCTCATTCAGAAGCAGATTCTGACATCTATCCTCGTCAATTGATCAGCTAAGAAAATTGCTCGACCAGTCTTAGGTGTTTGTAAGTCCTGCTTTATCCGTTACATTTTCAAACTTTCAATTAACCTGACGCGACACTTTTTTTGTTCTAGTCTTTGCTCCCTCTCATAATAATTCCACTCGTAATGGTCGATTAACTTTTGGTGGAGTACAAAATTCATTGTAAGTCTTTTATTTCACGTCAAATTGAATTCAAATAGAAATACAAAGTTTTTAAATCATTTGTTATGGTTTTCAATTTTGTTTTTAGATTTCATGGAAAGATGTCATGGATTCCAAAAACTTCAACTAAACCTTCTTCATCTTATTATGGAGTAAATTTAACTATCACTGCATCGGGAAAATCCATCATGCCAAACAAAGCTGGAATAGTGGTAAGCTTTCATTATCATTATGATATGAATTTCAAATCTACATCTTCAATCTGTTTTTTGTTGATATCTTTCCCTTTTTGGTCTAGGATACTGGTACTACTCTTGTTCTTTTACCCGATGATGCTTTCAAGCGATATGTCAACATGATCCCGAATGCGAAAATCTTAGATGACGGTCTAGTAATGTTCCCAAAATCATCTATCCAACATATTCCTACAGTAAGTTAGTCCCAACTCATAATCCCGCCCATTCTGATCAATAACGCAGATCAATTGAACACTTCTTTTTGAAATCTTCTATGACTTTGATTTTAGCTGGAATTTGATTTCGGTATCTTTAAAGCTACTTTAACTTCAAATCAACAAGTTTTACCAATCGATCAAGCTCATTATTATGGTGCATCTACTCGTATGCGGTATAGCTATGTTAGTGCTATGGGTACTCAATCTGGTACAGGTTTAGGTATGTTCCTCTTGATCTTATTATATAATTTTCTAATTATTGATCTGGTTCACTTTAATTACATTTGTTTAGATTTTATCCTTGGTCAGAAAGTAAGGATGGTTTCCTTTAAATCTGATTCATTTCACTTTATAACCTTACTGATTTACAACGCTCATCACTTGTTTTCCATCATGAAGTTTTTGGAACATTATTATACTGCTGTAAGTCAGATATCCCCCTTAATAATATCATCCTCTTGGCTTTTCAGAAATATATTCAAAAATCTTTCTTATCTTTGATTCTCAGTATGATAGTCAATCAGGTTCTGTTGGTATTGCAACCGCGACAGTGATCGAAGGAAGTTCATCTACCCAAAGAAAGTGTTAGGATCTCAAGATAATGGATTGAAGAAACCTTTTCTTAAACTATTTCTTGACTGTTTTTTCTCTTTGCTTATTCTTAGAGTCAATATTGCATTTAGTTTTAATTTGACATCATTTGACTCAGCTAGATGAAAGATTCAATTACTTCCTGAGTCAAACTTATACTTAAATACCCATCCATTGGTTTGAATTTTCTTTTGGATATCCTTGCTTTATTTAATTTCAACTAATCATATACTTAACATATGCTTCCTAACTAGATAATATTTAATCATTTTCATTCTTTGAAACTTTAGGGCCAAGTTGATTTGGTTTCTTATCAAACCTGATTTCTATGTCTTTCTTTGAGAGGAGATTACAAATCTTCATTGGTAATTTAATAATCATAAAACCATGTACTCAAACTGGTCAACTGAAAATCATATACAATCTCAGAAATTTCAGTTTAATTTTAACCAGAGGAATGATACAGTCAAAAAGATGAGAGCGGGTGTCAATTGCTCAGTGATTTGATTCGATTTCAGAATTTGAGGAGCATGTAACGAAATTTATACCAAGATCACATGAATAAGTTACATTTTCATCTTGCACACAAATTTCAACTATCAAAGCTCTAGATTGCAGAAGCGGCAACATATCAGAGTATAATTTGATATTGTATTTACAAACCTTGCCAAAATCTAAGTGCGCCAATTTATCAAAACTTCATCTGTCCTGAATCTGATATCACAAAAGCAGATCAACTGTGAGATTCAATTCGAATGAAGTGATAGTAATTGAAAAAAGATTTGTAGAGAATCAAGAAAACAAACCTTTGAGTACATGAACTCTTCTCGATTGGAGTTCTAAAGCCCATTCGAAACTGTAAGAGACCAGTATGTGCAATCATGATTCCATTATCAATACAAAACCTTTCATCAGTAGCAAAGATCCTTCCACCTCTTTCTTCAGTCATAATCTTCATCATCTCTTGTAAACGTTCATTACATCCGACGCCTCCAACAATCAAAACTTCATCAGAACCAACATGAGCCATAGCACGTTCTGTGATCTCAACTAGCATTGCAAAAACCGTTTCTTGAAGTGAGAAACAAAGATCTTGAGAATTGAAAGAGTCAGATGGAGTATCATCTGTAGTAGGCTGATCTCCAAGAAAACGTCGATCTCGAGTATATTCCTCTGCCTTGGTAAGAATACCACCCAAAGAGATATCCATCCCCTTGGTTGTATAAGGTAAGGTGATCAATTTTCGACCGTGTTTCGCACCTTGTTCAATATTATAACCTGGACTTGGATCATTAGATAAACCAATGACTCGAGCAAATCTATCTAAACAATTCCCGACGGCGATATCAAGAGTTTCGCCAAAGATTCGATATCGTTGGTGAGAATAAGCCAAGATCTGAGTATTACCGCCCGAGACATAGAGGATGATCGGATTAGGAGATTGAGTGATCAATCTACCCATTTCGATATGACCAACACAATGATTCACGCCTATGAGTGGAATCTTATACATCATTGAAAGTGTACGAGCAACAAGGGCGACAGTTTGTAATGGTGAACCCATTCCAGGACCTTTTGTATAACATATACAATCTAAATCGATTAAATTGACTTGAGATTCTTTGATGGATGATTTGATTAAGTCGATAATATGATCACGATGATGTTTGGCAGTATCAGATGGTTGAAAACCTTGTCCAGCTGGAGTCACATAAGTTTTTCTTAAATTGGATAAAACGTTGATTTGACCATTCGGAAGATGTTCGATGATTCCTACGCCGAGCTTATTGGCTTTCGTTCCAAAAGACTTTTAGTCAGGAAAACTTCTGTGTTGTTGATGATGATGATGAGGCAACACGAAGAATATGAATCCATCATCATCGATTGAACTCTTTAAAGCATGGAACTTTTCTTTTACTGACCTGATCCTTCAATACCTAATGCTAATAACCGCTTTTCTGGTAAGTCAATAGGGTCTACTTGAAAATCTATCTTCTCCATCTTTTCTTTTTTGCTTAAGATTGATCGTCGTGGTTTGGTTTAATTCCAAGGGGGTTTTCAACTCGATTTCCTTCAATACATTAACAAGCCAATGATAAATCTAGTATCCACTTTGGATTGCAGTTGGTAGTGTGCAGTTTGTAGGGTTATTGCCGGATGTCGGAAGCAGTCATTCGATCACGCCATTCGGTTCATAAAGAGATCTGACTAAAGACCCCTTGTTCTGTGTTTTGACTGCATGAAGAATAACCGACGCTGCATGTGTTGTTTCATATCATGCGCAGGGTTACAGATGCGCCGCAGTCACTCCCAAAGGACGCGTCATCCACTTGAACTTCATCACTATAAATACTGTTCTCACTCGTCCAACTGTTTCGCTTTTTCCTCAACTCGTTCCCTTCGCAACTCATATTGAAGAGTTGGTTAGTGCTACATCCATCTCGCTTACCTTTCATCTTCATCCATTCATTCTCTCATCCTTTCATTGCATTTGATCATCATGACTTCTTCCTCGCAACTTTTGCTTATGCTCTCATTATCTTCATCGTTTTGCTTTGTGATCACAGGGGGTCGTACAGACGGGCACAAGAGTTGTCACGGGTTCCGGTGGTCAGCAGAGTGTGCATAAGAGTCAGTCCTTTCCTTCATCTTGATTTTCCTCGCAGTCTTCTTTTTGATTCAGTCCATTCACTAATTCCCGCTTTGCATCTCTACCTTCAGGGCACATCTTTGTTTGACTGTCGTTATATCTTTGGGTCCGAGTCATGAGCCACCGATTGTATGCAAGAATGCCCGAGAGTCGGCTGTCGCATCCCACGGTTTTTTCCTCATCGACCTTTCCCCACGTTACCGATACAAGCTCGGTTTTAGTCCATTGTTATATGGAGTCATTTTTGAGACGATACGACGCTCTCGCTACGCTGCCATGGATGAAGCTTCCATTGGCCATTCAAGTCACTGTTCACTTCGGGTTCTGTCTCGTACGACAAACCGATTCACTGGGAAGATTTTTAATATCCTCCGATCACCGCCACGACCTCTTACCGGCTCGTGGCACCTTGGGAGGGCTGCAAATGTCTGCGTTAGTGTTCTTTCCACCCGGTCTCGATCTGTTTCTCTAACCTGACTCGTGTTGTTTTGCAAACGTCTCCAGCATAGTGAGCACCCCCCATCATCATTGGGTCTAGTAACGACCCGCGTACCCTGTATGTTGCATCGAACACATCAAGTTACAAATCAACTAGCGGCACCGATCTGCCCTATCTTTCTGCATCTCGTCTCCACTCGGTCTGTCTCGTTTCTCGCATCACCGAGGCGCACATTCGATTCTTTGCACAAGAAGTTCATTGGTACTGTCTACGTGCCTGCACGTCATTCTCCATATGGATGGCGTTGCGAATAGCTGACGCGTCAGGGCTTCCTCGACGCGTGAGTAGTTTGGATCCATATATGCCCCACCGGTTAGGATGTGGTATATATGTGTCTGTCATGTCATTCAAGGACATGCCTGGTAATTGGATCAAGTCCGACTACTGCTATCGACGACCAACAGTAGCTTGGTTTTCGTTGGGCGGGGACCCGGAGAGGCCTCCCTAAATGACGTCGCGTTCAGCCACAAAAGGGAACGCGGTGAACCTCTCCAACTCTGAAAATTGTCCTGTCTCAATTCTCTCTTTCCGACTACCTCTTAACTCATCCTACTCCTCCGCTACCTAGCTTGTCCTCGATATCTATTTCAAGTAGTTATTCCTCAAGAAACGGCTTTTGTTGGTGATGATGTGCTCTTTGTTGTCTTGTTATTTTATATTAGCAGTTTCAGATCTCGGGAATAAATACTTATGGGTTGTTGGCTGGGTTCTTATTGGCATCATTCACCCTTGTTGTTGAATGTCTTGTGAGAGTTGTTTACCCTGCTTCGCCCTCCTCGGCCGCAGTAAGTGATGTGTGACGGTGTGTTGACCCATCGCTCGATTGTGGATCAGTCAAAGAGGTCTCACATATTGCACCCAGTTCTTTTGACTTTGAAGTTCCAAGTGAAGTAGTCCACCTTTCCTCTTGAGCTTCCTATCTCGCCGACTGAAGCTTGGTGGTCTTTGCCTGTGACGGAACGATAAGGCGTTATCCCACTATGTAAATCAAGACTGACTCGATCAATTTGGATACACCATGAGTCCAGAGATGAGAAGGATGGACAAAGGGTTTCGATCAGAATAGTTCTGTCAGACTGATGAACAAAACTGAAAAAGTCAAAAGAAGCTTCAAATTGCTGAGCCGGTTTTCGAGTTTTTGAAAATCAAGATACAATTCAGTCACGGTCTGGGCATAAACCATTTCACCAGTCGATCCAATCGTTTGAAGGAATGGAACAAGGAAAGAAGCCAATCGATCAAACCAAAGTAAGCATCAATACTATTACTATGTCTATCACTCTAGAGCATTCTTCAAATCACTAATCACTTCACTTTCTTCATTCAGTCTTTCTCAATCGATACTCACACTAATCTCAATCCAATCAACAGCTTATCATCTCAACATTCTGCTCGTCTACTAGCAATCGTTCGTTCTCAAAACCCTTCATCCTCAGAATGGGATCTCATCCTACCAATCACATCAACAACATCTTCACACTCAACCATACTCAACATACTAGCTCGGATTCATCAAGCAATCAGAAAACAAACAACCCTTGATTTACAAATTCATGCCATTCGTCAAGTTTTGAAATTTACATATACTCAACAAACCGCTAAGCCTGACTTTAAACTTGAATATGAAGAATGGGCGGCTTATATGCACATTTCGATTACTGATTATCTTATTGATCATCAAATCATAACACTTGCCTATGAATCACTTGAAGCTAATTTACTTTCATTTAAGAGGTTAGTCGATCCGTTTTTTCAACTTCCTTTTGGATGAGGATTCTACAAACTGATTGAAATGTATTATGATTATATATGAATCTCTAGTGAATGGGTTCAAGCTATCTTTCATCTAAGGCTTGTGTTGATTTTCTTAGAAGAAGAAGATCTTCTTCTTGCCGAACGTCACTTATATTATGCGAATTCATTATCCCCAGAAAATTCTGTAAGTCTCTTTTAAAACGAAAGTTTCAGTTCAATTGATATATCTTCATGTTCTGATCATGTTTTGTTTTTTAGGTGATCCGATTGGAATGTGAGATTAGTTCAGCTAGGTTATATTTTCATCAAGGAGTTTTGTAAAATGTTTTGATCTATTGAGTCGATTGTTAGAAAAAGATAATGATCATTATCAAACCATACGAACTCATTTAATTACCATGCGAATCATCTCAGCTATGATATCACCACCTCATCTTCGACAATCTTATTTACAAAAAGTTCAAGGATATCTCGTTGAACCCGACTTTTCATACTTGAAGGAATCATTCGAAATCGTTTTACTTGACTCTATCATTATACCACACTCAAAACCTTACAAATCATTGGCTTCTTTACTTCCTCAATCTTTGATTTCAAATGGAACGTTTATAAACTTTATTAGAACCCATAACTTATGGTCACAATCTATCAAACACAATGAGATCTCATCTACTGAATTATTAAACTTATTAGATTTTCATCAACCAAAAGAAATCAAAAGATATCTTCAAGAAAGAAATGAAATCGATCCATTAAAAGTACAAATTATTCTTTCTGAAGATCCTAAAGACGATTTTTATGTTCGATTAACTCGATATGATCATAAAGTTGAACTTGGTATCACACAACAAATTGAAAACATGTCAAAAAAACTACTTTTATCAACTTTATCTTCTTGTAAACCAAACCTTTTTAAATCTGGTATTAATTCATCAGTTACTGGTGTGATCACTATATCACCTGATATATCTGAAAACGAACCTGATGAAGAAAAACCTAATGTGATAGAAATTGATAAAGGAAAGATGACAGATAGGGATGAGGGTTTTGGAAAAGAAGGATCGGATCCTTCTGGTATCTGTAAGTTTTTCTCGTTTAAAACTTTGATTATTTTGATTTGATGAAAAGTTTGAGAAATACGTACACGTACTTTAATAAAAATGAATCAAAAGGTTCAATATACTTATGATTTAATTGATTTTTCTGATGATGATAAAGATGAAGAAATCAAAAAAGTAAGATTTGATTTTTAATTTTTTAGAATCAAATCTTTTTTTGAATAAATTAAATCAATTTATAATAAGTTTTTTTTATGAATGAAAAAATAGAAAGAAAAAACCGTAGGGAAGAGAAAAATGATAAAAAATGAAAAAGATTTAGATTTAGATAGACCTGCGATTGGAGATTCACCAAATGGATCAGAACCTGCGATTTATGAAGACTCGAATCGATTTGATCAAATTGATTTAGATCGTGATGATCATTTGGTGAATGATGAACCAATGAAATTACAACAAGAACAGGGAGAAGAAGATGAAATCGATGAAATCGATCTTCCTGCTATACCTGGCTCTTCTCCGATTATAAATGAAGAAAACTCTGGTTTGGATGATCAGGTATGATGTATTTGATTTATCGAGACCTTTTTATTTCTTGCATTTTCCTTTGATTTTTTTACTTTTGGATTTAATTGGTTGATTAAGTTTTGGGTTTTTTGTTCTTTTGATAGGATGATGAATCAGAAGAACCAAGAAGAACAAATGAAAATGATCTTCCTATTAAACAAGATCGGTTATCTTCAACTATAAACCAAGAAAAGTTGAATGGATTGAATGATAATCAGGTTTGTTTAACTTCAATTTGATTAAATCCATTTAATCTTTTGTTTTCTTTCTGAAGTTTGTTTTTCTGATTAATTGAGTGTTTTTTTCTTGGTGGGTTTATGGTTTAGGATGAAGAAAAGGTTGGAAAAGTTGATGATTTAAATAAAGAAGAAAAAGAAAACCAAAAAGAAAATGAAAGTTTATTGAATAGAGATCAAACTGTTAATCAAACTCAAGAAAAGAATGAATTGATTTTAAATGCATTAAGTAGTTTTTCAAAAGCTTTAAGATCATTTTAAAAAAAGCAAAAGTAAAAAAAGCTTGATAAAAAGTTTGAAGAATTGAAATATGTATCACTATGCATGCTGTTTTTTTGGTTTATTAGTGATGAGAGTTTGGATTAGTTGAGATAGGAACAATTGGGTTTGAATGTATTTTAGAAACTTAAGATGTGGTTAGACTCCAGAGATATGGATACCTCCACATCAGTTACTGATGATGATGCTATTGTGAGAAACTTTGATGCACAAATCTGAAAGTTCAAAGACGTCTCAAATCTCAAAAGTCTGAGTATGTATGATGAGCCTGGAATTCATCTTGTACCTTGGTTTGAAAAAGCATGAAATTTAAGAAACATTGGTATTCAATGAAATTTCACGTATAGAAACTCCCTTACAGGTTATCAAAATATTATCACAAACTTGATTGTATAATTACTGTGGCTCTCAACCTCTAGTTCAAGTTTCTACCTCTTTTGTAAACCAATTCCACATTTACTTGGTAAAATTGGTGTGTGTCAGTAATATATACATAGACTGAGTGTATAAAGAAGTGTACATAATGTGGCGAAAATTGGTTCTAGTGATGCGTATTGAGCATATAATGATGAGGAAGATAGCCCACATCTCACAGTTTCATAATTTTTGAGTCATCTATGATATGTGTGATTTTCAAGACCAAGAATCTAATTATCCAGTACTTTTTTCTTGATAATGTATATGAAGGAGGAATTTTCTTGCTACTTAATTGAGATATAACATTTGCCTGGACTTGAAAGAGAAATTCAGATTCTTCATAGTTTTGATTGGGGTGAAACTTACAACCCTTGAGAAAATGTTGTGATACATGTCTGTAGAATCTTTGAAGATTGTTATAGATTCTTTAAACCTTCAAGAATGGTCAGGGTGTGAAAGATGTGAGGTTTCAGCTGTTGAAGTGCACAAGGAAAGATGGTGGTCATCTATGATATTTTCAATTATTCTCCTTTGATCAACATGTAATTTAGCACAACAGCTTTCATTGAAGCCAACAGGTGTACTTTTAGATTGTTGGTACCATATTTCTTTTCATTGGGTTAAACACACAGAAGACACAGAGTGAGGAAACCTATGTACAAATTAAATTCAGCAGGAGTCATAGTACTCATTTTTCAATTGATAAATGAAAGTGATCAGAGAAGCCTATTGAACATGTAGGACATTCTTTCAATGCTCAAAAATGAGATTTTAGACGTGTGGTTTGTAGAGCAAAATTGTTGGCTACAACATAGGAGTGATGTCTTAAAACGTCTATGTATATACAAGTGTTTCCTGACATATAAATGATTCAGATGTCTTTGGGTCTACTCTGAACCGCAGAAACAAATTCGCACCAGATGGATAACTTATAAAGATCTCTAGATATTGAAACAAGAGATAAAGACCAAGACAGAGCTCACACAGTAATGCTATGTAGATCTCGAAGGAAGATGTTGTATTTTTGGCGGTGTGAAGAGAGGAATAAATCTCCGAGGTGAACTTCTTGAGTCTTGGCTACTATTGGTTTTGATCTTTGAGACTTTCAAATGTTTGGTATCAGATTGACGCGTACCAAATCTGGTACCACCTTCTGAACCAAGGGGCCCAATGCAGATCACATGGCACAATGAGTCAGTACTGCTTGTAGCTTGAATTGTGACATCGTGAGTAGTCGTGGGGTCATAAGTCAAATTACGTGGGTTAGGCGGAGTGTGCCTTGGGATGCATTTCGGAGTGATCACACCGTCGAATTTGACTTCGGGAGAGAAGGTGTTGCGTTGAATAACAGTAGAATTATATCCTGCTACAGCAATTCCGTATCCAAAGTATCCATCGTTACTTGAGGTGAAATAATTATCTTGAACAACTCCATTATAAGGTCGACGAGAAGTTGAATTTTTTGACCACCACACCTAATATCCGCTCGATTAGCACAAAACTGACAAGTTTATTTGAGCAAAGTATATACAACTTTGACATACCATTGTTCCCATTGCGATTCCTACTTTGATCATAGAGCCATCGGTGTGGAGCGTATTGTTTTCTACAACTACGCCGGTGAAATTGCCTTTGTAAGGATCAAAATCTACCCTTATCATCACGCCACACCAACCAGTCCTGAGTCAGCTAGATATTTAACATACGATGATGGTCTTGCATCACGCAGTTCCCAAAGGCCACAAAGGATACAATCAAAAATCCGCCTTACATATTGATACCACCCATTAAAACACGGGATTGAGCTACAATTCTATTATTGTATATATGAGATCCCGGAGCTCCAAAGAGGACAATACCTCCGTCGGTCGCATCGGTGATGTTATTACCATACACGTGACTTTGAGTACATGCTAGAGAAATACCATCCGCCCTATCGAAATGTGTTGAAAGAGATGCATATTTCTTCAATTTTACAATCTCAATATCAGGATATGTAGAAGAAACGCTGACCATTGTCCAGATGTATAATCCTTCGTCAAGCCTAAGCCGCGTGGTTCTGTAGAGAAACTGGGCGAATTTCCAGATGGTCCTATCTGATTATTTCGAATGGTCATTGAGACACATGATGGATTATCTACATCTGTAGTGCCCTCTTAGGAATCGAAATAACGCAGGGGGAAACATAGCTCAATATGTTAGTGGTTTGTTATCCATTTCATCGCTAAGAAGATATTGGAAATCTAATCTGACACTCACCTCTGCCGTGAAGTACGCACCATCCTCTTGGTTCATAAGCCCGAACAGAATCAATTGTTTGACCAATCGAGTTCCCTCCAAATTCCACCAATGCTGAGCCTCCATCTTCTACATGACGCATTCCCAACTTTGGCCTGTTTCCATTGATTTGAACATAGCCCAGATAAACATAATGGCATTTATTACAACTCTCGACCGCAGTACTGATTTCTTTTGATGCCACAGTTAGAGTGGCTCTTCGATTCCCCAGCGGCATTCCTAGTGTGTAGAGCTTCAAAAACAGACATCAGGTTTGACTTGAATTAGCCGACAGGTAGAAGAAGGTGATATAATAATGAGTGGATTAGATCACATGTTGAGCATAATTCGGAAACTAACAGATTGATTGCTTGCTGTAAACCTGATAGTTTGTTTGATAAGAATTCGTGCTTTTGGGCACAAGATCACTTCGGTTGATGGTCCACCTTCTATAAATAATTGATTGATCTATCATGACATTGGCATCGAAAAAAGTACGGTAAGTAACTGCGAAAAACTCTTAGTCGTGTTTGCACTTGAGTCCTTCTACTGATAATAGAAATCCACCTCAACATCAGTCGCATCACTACCAAGACATCCTAATTCGGAATAGGGTTTCAATGATGACTTGTCTTTAGTCAAATCAAAGCCCTGAGGATTGATGAAAAGTCAGAAATACATATGGTTTCCATTCTTCTTTGACGATGAAAAATATAACAAAGCAAGACTCAACAGCTTTAACCGGAAGAAATCTCTGCATAGAGATCAACGTAAGAAATAGTGCGCATCTTATGATGAATATGATACGTTGTGACATGATCCAGTCATAAACTCAGGTGTAAATCAAGGAGTCCTAAATCAATTATAGCGTGAAAGTACGTAGGATGATATCTTACGAGCCTTTCTAGAGTAAGAGAATGATGAGCGCAGTCTTTATTTGATTACATCAGTCGTTTTTCAACTTGAACTCAATTTATCCCCATCAGATATAGAGGAAATTCATTATCATATGTGGTCAGATTTGCCAACAGGGAAACGAAAGAGATCGATAGACACGTCCGTTGGTCTTGTGCAATGTGGGAGGGTCAGATGATCTTCTCCTGATCACTTGAAAAGGTAAATGTTTTCAGAGATAAACAATTCACAGCATTTATAATGTAGCCAAGTCTCCTCATATTGGAGCGTGTGATTGATATACACCTGCCCATTGGTAGCGGGATTGTCGAGGACAAAGATATGTACAATTGTGACCAACGGAAACTATAAATTTTTTTCGCTTCCAAGTAGCCGTCCCTTGCTGCTATGCATACATCTGGCGGAGATAAGTTATAACTGACCTGATGGTCTTCACACATCCGTCTCAAATTTTATTATCAGACAACAAATCACATGAACTACGTCATTGCTTGAATGCTGAAGGGCCTACTGGAAAAACGACTCGTGTATGCAGTCTTGAAAGTCTGTTTTTTTGTCTCATTTCTGCAACATTCTCACTGTGCTATTACGTTACTTGAATTGGCTGGAGATCAAAAGAATCCCTAGGTGAAATGGAGGGAAAACGCCAAGACCTGATCGCTGCAGATATTTGCAAAATATCTCCTGATTTCAATATGATGGCTAATGCCTTGATACTTCTCAGGTGCGAGTTAATCAGAAAGAAGTTGAATTGGACAAATGTTTTCAAGGCAATAAAGAAATGAATTTTGAATTTATCAAATGCCCAGTTCAGGGAGCTTGAATTCTATTTGAAGAGCAGATCACAAAGAATCGTTCATATACACTTTTTGGATGAAGATTAAGAACCATAACCTATGAAACACAGTTTATCCCATCTATTGTAAAAAGAAGAAAAGAAGTTCACATATGGAATTGAGAACGACAAAAAGACGATACAAAGAAAGATGAGTTGCAAAGATATCCCAGCACAAGATGTGAATTCAGATTGCAGCACACATGGACCAAAGCTGGAATGAGATGGAAACTGAAGATCTATGATGGGTCTCTAACCTGAGAGAAACGATACGAAAGTAATGCTAGATTAGGAAGAGAGAGTCAAACGAAGGAGAATGCCAAGAACCCAAGGAGACGAGATCAGAGGAAAGATAAAATTATGGAGTCGTGCTATCCTCATGAAGATCAAGCTCAGACCAGAGACGAGGTCGAACTACGCAGGAAACCGGATGATTGGCGACTAGCTCGATCGATTCCATCGTATCCAGTCCATCAGGAACTTGATCAAAGAAAATTTCCATCGATAGCATTGCAATATACAATCTCATCTCGAGTAGCTAGAAGTAGATATATCTCGATCAGCTTGAGTGTGAATATCGAAATCTTGTTATTTGAAGACTCACTGCCAAATTTCGGCCGAAACATCCCCTGGGACCATGTCCAAAAGCATGGAAAGGACCAGGTTTATGGTAGTCGAATCGACCATCAGCATCTAGCCATCGTTCAGGCTTGAAGCTTCGATCTCCCCAGTAGCCATGAGGCATGACGATGGTAGTACGTGGTGGGATAACAGTATCGGCAAGAATCACCTCACTGGTCGTCTCCCTCGATACATCCGCCAAGGTTCTTGCACACCTCAATAGCTCGTGAACGACAGCATCGAGGTAAGATAGATCTTGACTTGATTTGGTCAAGTCAGAGTAAGTAGGCGATCGCTCTTCAGGTGTCGGAAGGAACATCATTAATTCATATTTCAATCGTTTTTGGACTTCAGGCGCGCTTGCTAATAGCTTAACCGCCCATGCTAGTGTGCATGCCATTGTACCTATCAATTCAGAAGAATAATGTTAGAAAAGTTGAAACGTTGATGGGCAAGGTATAAATCAAGAGAACGTACCATGGCCTGCCACCCAGTAGACTAACAGTTCTTCTCGGATCTCAGCCTATATTCCCAGAACACAACAGAACAGTGTGAGCGAAGTGCGAATTCAACGGTACATAACGCTCATGAACGTACATCACTCAAAGCGGACTCTCCTCTTCGTTGAGCTTCAAGTTGATCAGAAACCAAGAGATCAACAATCGAACTAGTCCTACCACCATCTGAAGCTTTGGAACTTTCAACGGCTTGATCCAAGAATGAAAAAATAGAAGCACGAGAAGGTTCGAATCGATTCAAGATCGATCGAAAGAACCAAAACAGTCTAGGTGATGGTGATATAAAGGCTTTTGCTACATCTCCCACAATTAGGTTTAAGCCATGAGCTAAACCAGGGAACTTTGGTCGCTCATCTGCCGTGACTGGACCTTTTGCTAAACGTTCTAGGTGATCAAGACGAGAAGAGGTAACTCCAAATGATTCACCAAAAATGATATCTGAGATAGTATCCTGTTGTACAAAAATTGAAGTTTAATTTAAATCCGAGATGAAGAAACTATCACAAAAACACCTCACCATTGTACTCAATCTCAGATCTTGCGCCGCTTTAAAGCATAACTCTCCACTCTGATCTAAAACTTTACATCTCATCTTCCCTATGAACACAAATCCCACAAGAAATGTCAGACAATCAGACTTTATGTTGATCAGTAACGTAATCAAGAAGAAAAAAAAGTGAGATACTTACAGAGTTGGATGAGTTCAGTCACAGAACGAGTTATCTTGGGAGTGATCTTGGATAGATATGAGGAAGTCATTGATGCTCCAATACTAAGAAAAATTATAACGAGTTGATAAATCAAAAGAGGACGACAAAAGAAGCCAGGAAAGAAACGGGAATACGTACGCTCTACGATGTTGTTTGAAGACCTTGTTAGTTCGAAGTGAAAGTTGTCCATTCGGAATAATTCCTCGATATCTAAACCAAACCAAAGCTTAACTTTCAAGGATAGTGGATCAGTTGAGCCAAAGAAGAAGACTTACACATCTAATCCCAAACCTGGATCCGGGAAATCATTTGCTCTCTTGTGACAAATCTCAACCACTAAATCAGGATCATTAACAATCACCCAACATTTTCCAAACCATGAACTAATCCAAGTTCCAGCTGGTCCTATCGAGACTTGTACCAATCTAGCTCCTTTGAAACTTGCACCGATTTCTGCCAATGTTTTAGTACGTGAAAAGGTTTGATTCTTGATGTTGGTAAACTTTGGAAGGGGGTACAATTTGAACAGATCACCAAAGGGAGTAAGTGGTTTGTTTGAAGGTATACCTCTTATAGGAATTGGAATCAAAGATAGATATAAAATGATGATAAATGAAATGATTAGAGCCAATAGAAATATGTTAGAGTCTAGAGCGGAGATGTTGATCATCTTGTAAGACTTTTTCCTGTTTAGATTTTGTACAGGGTGAGAGGAGGGAGAGTCGTGTAGACCTTTTTGTCGGTTGATATGGTTTAAGAAAACTTTCAAAAAGATCAATCAAAGAATAATGAAGTATTCTTTAAAGGTTTGAGGATGATGATCAGAGCTTTAGAGACGAGTGAAACAACTGTAGATGAAAATAAATATAAACCAGGTTCAGAATATCTATCTATCTATATGATGTCTATATAAATTGTAATGTCTAATGAGTTCACCAGTAAGATATTGTGATATATAAAGGCAAGAGTCTGAAATGCGTTGGATGATGGGATGGCTCGAGAATGAAGCAAAAGTGATGAAGTTTATATACGCGTAAAATTGCAAAAAAAAACACTGCGATCAAAAAAGAGGGTACATACATTGGAGATGGTTGTGTGTTGAGGTCTTGTCGGTAAACAAGCCTCATGAGTCTGCAGGACTCGAGGTGGTAGGACATCAACAAAAGTGGGGTGGGATGAAAAACTCTGAGACGAAATAGTCAACATCACTGGGTTTAGGATTGACAACTGAAAAAAACCACACATGTCGAAAACCAGTAAAGTAGATCGCTCGACAAAAGACTGTATCTTCCTCTTCACCATTCATACCACTCAGTCACGACACAATCAAGGGAAAGAGAGGGAAGAAGGTGAGATGTACAATTTCAGGAAGAAAAAAAAGTGGGCGTGTCTGAACAGATTTTCTTGTAGTTCAAAACTCAACCAAGTGGATCACGAAAAAAGTTGGCAAATTGTGTAGAACAGATACGCAGAAGAAAAAAAAATGACTGAGTAAACGAATAGTTTGGTGAGAAACTTATCATCACCCATTGAAAAAAGCAGGGGGGGAGCAAGCTGACGGACGGCTAGAAAGATTGTAGAGGGAGAGGCAGAGAGAGCGCAGCTCAGGAAGGTGATTTCGGCTGGAATATTTTAGTTTCTATAAACCAATTGAATTGAATCGAATTGAATTGAATTGTAAAATCGAGATTTACATCCTTAACCATCGATCAGAGGTGTCAATAACTAATTTTGTCATCCTCGACAATTTCAATTGAATTGATTGTGCTATAATAGGTGTATTGATATCACTACTAAGGCTGTCGATCACTTTTTTTTTATTCCACTTCTCCAAGCAAAAAATTCATACTCAAGAACCACCTTCACCTTCGTCATCCCCACCCAATTCTCTTCCAGGGGACGAACCATGCGCTCACTCTTCACATTCGTTCCTATCCCCTTGACTTGGCGGCTCTCAAACTCTTTGACTTTTTCAAATGCCTGCCATAGTCCCTATGTTTTTTTTTGCTTTCTTTTCTTTGATTGGGATGAATTGATGATCAGAATGACAATCAAATCATTCAGAAAAGTTGAAATAGGATTTTGTCTTTAAATAATCTACGCCACTCAGTCTGAATTTGTCAAATGTCGAACGATGCGGGTTCGGTGTGAAATATATTCTAAGATTCTGCTGAGGAATTTTCATTGAATCTTAAAGAACTCGAACTGATCCAGTGATGATTGCTACATACTTGCTACAATGTTCTACGCATCTCAACCGGATACGGCACCACACGCTGTTCATAAAGGTACATGTCAAATCATCAAAATTTCGCACATGTTTGAGTGATTTTGGCTGATTCGCGGACACGAATTCTGTCCGAGTTTATCTGATGCTAAGGGAAGTGTGAATATGTATGCAACAAATGGTAAACAAACTCAACACCGTATTGTTCAATTGCCGATAGTATCTTCTTACGTATACCAATCGGTTCCGGTTCATTGGTGCCGAATTGAAGTGGGAAGGAAATAAGACATTTGTGATAAGACTTGATTGATTTCCATCCATCATCTATCTGGTCGTATCAGCTTACTTTGAACTTTGTCCAGCTTGAGATTTCTTGGTATTTGAAACCGTGCGGCTCCAAAGTTCTTTGCTATTGAATCATTGGTTCCTTTCTTTTGGAAAGAAACCCAAACTGAAATAGAGTCTTACATACCTTCTCGCACCACACTTTGAGCTCTTCCATAGAAAAAACACCCTCACTTCCATCTTTCCTTCGCTTTATATTGTTTATTTACTTCTTTCCCCACATTGTTAGTATTAACATGTTGGACAAAATTCCTTTTTCCAAGCTTCGCATGATTGTGAACATTGTTAATTGATTCGGATGCAACAGAAGAGGGACCCATAACTGCATACATTTGAATTAGTACCTATAGACTGACAGCACAGGCTTCGAGTTTGAATGCGCCAGACAACCTAAAAAGTACACCATTTCCTGACGGAAGGGCTAATTCTCGTGGTAAAGCTTTTTGCTCCAAGGAGATGGATCATGGAGGGGTCCATCATGCTCACGTCTCGGATCTTGTTTTGCTGGGCTTTTTCTCCTTGCATCGTTTGACTGTCTCTTATTTAAAATGCCTTCCTTTACGTAAAGAAAATAATAGAACTGACTATACATAGATCTGCGTCTGATTCTGCTATCTACGTGATCGCCACTGTGGCAAAAGATGGATGGTAGCAAAGGCGTTGTGGGGGTGTATGCTGATGTATATACAGTCCTTGTATTCCTAACATCAATGCGGATAGGATAGATCAAAGTTTGAAAACAAAAAATGAACCGTAAAAGACGTGATCATTTCTTGCTTTCATAATGTGGCTGTTGGTATGTATGTACATAGAATACAAGTTACGTTTGAGTTGTCTTGCTGAGCGCCAATGGCAATGATGTTCGACTTTCTTGACGTTTGAAGATTTTTACATTCCCTGAGATGCAATCATGAAACAGGAGAAGAGTGAGTTTCTCATTGATTGAATACAGTCTGAATTTGTTGATCTTGTTTCGTTTTTATTGATTGTCTATAGTCTTCCGCTGAATGAACTTGATGTGTAAGTGGGCCCGCCGCGGGAGACCGGTTTGGCTGCCTGTGTGATAGAGTGATACCATTTTGAATTGAATGATCGGTCGATGAGCTACAGCCATTCCGATATTTGCTTGTCGCTCCGGTTTGAAAAAGAAAAAGTGAAACCTAAGTTTTTACCTGTTTTTACTCAATAAAACTTCAAACTTGGCTGTAATTCAAGGCAATACAGCCAAATTCCAGGTTTTAGCCGGTTAAAACTTAGGTTTCAAGCTCACAAACTTTTTCTTTTTCAAACAGGTGCGACAAGCAATATCGGAATGGCTGTACTTGGATTTGATTCTTCATCTTCAATTCGGGGTCCTTCGGGTCCTTCAAGCCGGTGATGGTGGCTTCAGTCTCCTGACCTGACCATGAATTTAACTCAATGAGCTAACAGTCAAGGACGAAAATGACACGCATGCTTGATGCTATAAACAGACATCCAGATAATCCACATCGATGAACCAAAGTTGAGCTCTTTGATCAACTCTAACATGTGTACAATAACCATTTCTGGATCTCGCCGCGCGGGTTCAGGAATGAGCACAGAGAGATTGTACACATCTGCAAGATCTGGCCATTCCCATATGATTTCTATCTAGTGTTTGTTTTTCCAATCTTCTAAGTTATTACTGAGACTGTTGGACTGTGACAGGCTCAGCTAATCAGAGTTTGTGAAAAAGGGTTTCGCGTGGACAATTTGAATCTAGAGACTGATGAGGACCGATGAAACAAAAATGCGTCTCTGCGGATCAAGGATGGCAAAAGAAAGGATAACCCGGATCAGGCTCAAGGTAATTAGTATCAATCCCTTTCTAATGTTTGATCATTCTTGCTGTTTCACTGTTGAGGGCGTGTCAAGCTTTTCAATCTTCATGCAAACCTTGAGATCACATTCAAGTTCTTAAACCAAAGTACAGCAATGTCGCTCGCGCAATGAAAGCCTTGAGAAGACCTTAATATCTTTGAGAACTAAGATCGCATTGTCAAGGAGAGCTTTTCTCAAGACTTTTTCACCCCTCGCGAGGCTAGATGTATCACTTTATAGTCGGAGAGTGGTCCTTCCCTTATCTTGGTTCTCTTTCAAACTTCATCTGAAATGTATTTCTCATTCTTTGACAGTCAACCCAATGCCAAAAAGCAAGTATAGAGGGAGTAGGCATTATTGAATTCAAATGCAATACTCTTTTTTACTGATTTTTTCCTATGTTTGCGTTTAGCGCGCGAGTGGACATCATTTTGCAAAACTTGCGCCAATGCAGGCCTGTTCCGAAAGGCCCATGTGCTGATTGATGAACCCTCTAACAAATTGTAACAACACAGCGAAAACAAAAAGATTTCTATTTGCGAATTCTCGACACATTTTGAAAAATGAATTGCCCAGAAGCAATGCTTTTAGAGGCAACCAGAGTTAATGCAAAAGAACTTGTAAGTTAAGTAATAGCGTGTGATACATTTTCTGTTGGATCCACTCTCATGAAGCTACGTACCAAAGTCTACCCAACAAAACTGGGCAAATGTGATCAATTAGAAGAACATACACCGGTTGAGAAAAGTGAGGGTCAAATCTTCCACAGCTGCAAAAGCGATTGCACGTAATCAACATTTTGAGCTCTTATACAGCAAATGCAAAAGCCATCTATCCAAAAGCGCTCCATCCACCCTTCTTTTCTAGAGTATAAAAGTGGAGTCTCCTTCTTAGCGCGGCCATCGATCGGAATAGACCATCAACGAACCTGAATCATTCACCATTGAACGCATCATCATACTTGTTAAGCCATCACACACCAACTTACTTGAAGTATCAAACCCGTACAGATTTCTTCCCTACGACGAAAAATATGAGTACTCCCTGTAAAACGGCTGCTCATCAGATCTATCATCAAATGCGAATGGCCTGCCCGGTTTGTGGAATACCCTCAGCCTACATGGATGGATTTGTCTCAGCAGATATGGTTGATATCCTTCAAACGAAAATTGGTCAGTCCTTTACTCACGCGACCTTACCTGTTCCAAAGACACATAGATCAAAAGCTACACAAGGGACAGTTTACCCACACCAAAAAAGCAAACTCAGCCAAATACGACCTCCCACCCCTTATCCTGGCACTGGAGCTGGTCTTCAGGAGCTGATAGCAACCACCAAATTGGACGACCCACAATATGGCTTACACGGAAACTTGGAAGATGTCAATCAAGGAGTGAGCAATATGTTTTCTTCATCTGGGATAGGAGTTCCTCTTTCCAATGAAAACGATATCGATATGACCTCTCATGCACATACATTAGCAACACTTCAAGCCCGGGTAAACCGACTGGTTCCTCGCATCGTTCGATTCTCCCCAGGGAATGCGAGGTTGCGCAAGAGGTTCATGGAGATGACTTCAAAGATATGCTTACCATGCTTGAACCCCCAAAATAGTGATTCTCAAACTTCCCTTTCAGAATGCCTAGAAGTCAACCCCAACAAAGAAGTTTACAATACGACCAATGCTATGTTACGTAGGATCAAGGATAGATTAAATGGTACAAAACCCCGTATTGTTAGATTTATGCCAACCAATGAGCGCTTGAGGGATAAATTCTCGGCCCTTAGGGAAGGGAGAAGTCTTGAAAATACCAAAAAAATTAACTTGACATTTATCTAATTGATTATTGCTTCTTGTTTGGTAGATATGTAGTGTGTGAAATAATGATTAGTTGTTGATGTCCAAATGAGCATAGACCCTTCCTTACTGAGCTTATCTCAGAATAATTCGAGTCAATGTGTACTTCAGTTCTATCTTGACGAAATCTTTGAACAATCAAAAACCATGTCCACGTCCTTCTTTGAAGGAAAGACTTCAAAATTCATAAGGCTGGGCCCAAAGTGAGAGAAAATGTCTTGATGTCTGATCAGATCTGATCCTCACTCAGAGCTGCCGATGGTTTGACATAACATAAATAGAGATGATGAATTCGAACTCTGTTCTCAGTGTCAAGCATGATACATAATGTCACACATGAGATAAATTCAATGCTGAAAGAAAGAAATACCATCAATGTCTGACCCGCTCCGCTATAACCAACACTTTTCATAGTGTTGCGGTTTATCGCAATGGGCCAAGCCGCAATCGCATCGCAATACGGAGGCTACCGCAATAAAAAGTTCCTTGCGTTGCGGGATACCGCAACGCAACACAATGCTCAGTTAAATTTGGGCTGCTCTTAGTGGTCAGAGTGGTCAATTTATGCAAAATAAAATCTAATATTGAGTCAAAGGGTAAAACCAAATGAATGTATAGAAAAAAATTGTAAAAAGCGCGCACAAAACAAGTGTGAAGGAGTGTAGAGAAAAGAAAAACAAAACTAACTTGACCAAAAAAATCAAGACAAGACAATTTATAAGAGAATTAAACAAGTAAACAAGTATATAGAAAAAAACAAGGTCAAAAAAGATGTAATGGGCATAAAACAAGTGTGATGAAAGTGAAAGATTAAAAGAAAACAAAAGTAATGGGCATAAAACAAGTGTGATGAAAGTGAAAGATCAGAAGAAAACAAACATGATTAAAGAAGAGAGATAACCTCCGGGGCCTTTGCCTTCCCTTTTGACTTTGCCGACTCCTTCGACTTGCCATTGGACGGATCTTGAGTAAATGCATGAACATAAGTCAACGCTTCAGCAAATTTACCGTTGACCAAAATTCCAGCTTTCAACCATTCACGGAGGCCAACCAATCTAGTGATCGAAGATGGAGTCAAAGCTCCTCGGCTTGGTGTAGCTATGTCAGCTGCTGACAAAAAGGTACGTTCCACAGCGCAAGATGAGGCCGATGCAGAAAGATAATCTCAAGCTAGGGTAGCTAGAACGGGGTATTTAGAGGCATGAGCCTGTAAATACCAAAAGAAACATGCCAGTTAGAAGTCATGGGCAAAAGACAAAAAAAAACAAGTTGAAAAATCACCTTCCATCAACTCAGAGGAGTCTGACCAGGAGCCACTGCGTGGTGGCCATCCAGGAAGCTTTGCAGCTCGCATTCTCGCGCCTTGGTACCGTCGGCAGAGGATTGAGTTGAAACAAAGAGATCGTACCCATACAAATTGGACTCCTTGGGTTGGGAAACAGGAACAGAAGGGGAAGAAGGAGGGGTCACCGGCCAAAGATGTAAAGCCATGTCAAAGTGTTTTTTGACAATTGATTTGGCTTTTTCAGAGTAGTCAGGGTAGTGAAGGTCAAACATTTTAAGACAGAGTTGGGGGTTGAGAACAGTAGCTACCACAATAGTCTCACATGCTACTGCTTTGTCTTGACAATTACAAAGTTTGGGTAACATCTTGTTGACCACGTTTCGGATTGATTTGAACTCGGTTGAGGCTTCAAGTGCCTCAAGTGCAGAGATGATACGGTGGTACTTGGCTAGCAATACACAACCAGAGGCAAAATTGCCTTCCATACGTTTGGTAGACATCCGGAAGATCTGAGAAAGATTTCAACTTAGTTACTTGTTTGTCAATCAGAAGTACATAGACCAAAAGGATAGCAAACCTCCAAAACCTGGTTGAGGACCTGAAGGGCGTCCCACTCTTCAGGTGAAATTGAAAGACCCTGATAGTACCGTGTCTTACGATCTGCAGTCATAATTGCATCGACCACCTGGGATATTCAGGAAAATGTTAGCTTGTGAAAAGAATGAGAAAAAATTAGAAACTGGACTCACATCACGAGCTGAGCACAGTCGAGTTGAAACATCCAAGTTGATATTCCACCGTAAACCCCAGCCAGGAATAGGCTGAGGTCCAATATAGCCAAGCTGAGCCGACCTTCCTTTGAATTTGCCTCGACGTGCCCCACTTTGACATAAAAGGCTATTGAATTTCTTGGCCTGATGAAACAAATTGAAAAAGTTATCAAAAAGAAACCGGTAGAAAAGACAGGAATTGAGTAAAGGAAAGATTCTGTACCTTCTGGTAACCAAGAATCACCGAGCACAAGGTGTAGGTGCTGCCAAAGACAGCACCTTCTGATTCTACTTCATCATCTTCATCAGATGTCAATCTTTGGTGATAGGCTTGAGGTTCAAGATCATAGTTGTCCTCATCTGAGCTGTACTGGTCCTCATCATCATGGTCAGCTGATTCGACTCGTATGATTGGAATTGGCATTGGCATATTGTTTGGAATTGAAGGCTTTGATTTTGACGTCTTGATTTCAAGGGACTTGAGACCTTCCTTGACCACTAGACCTAAATTCTGTGCAAAACAACGAACATGATTAGCTTCAGCATCCCATATGACCGGTTCATTGCTGTTAGCTAGAACAGCTGCAAGCTCAATAGCCATTGTGTTGTTGTTTGAGCCTGAATGAGTTGTTTGAGCTAATAAGTAAGATTGGAAAGTAGATCTCAGTATGTGGAAAGGTATGGAAAAGAGATAAAAAAGGGAAAGAAGAAGATTGAAACAATCAAGAAGTGAGAAAGAATCAGTACGTATCTGCTGTTGGAGGCCATGCTTGATGAGAAAGTGTGCAACTGGCTGAGCAAGAAGAACACTGTAATAGTTCCATGCGACAAGTTTAAGTGTAAGATGCCTGCTTCAATAGTTCCACGGTCAATCAATGAAGTTTGCAGAAAGTCCAATGAAGGCGTACTTGCTGCCTTTTGTGGTCCACACGTCGTGGAACAAAAAAACCAAGCACTGTTTTCCTGTTCATAAGATACAAACATATGAAGACATGAGAAGAAAGGGAAAAAAGAAAAGATTGCAAGGGAAAAAAGAAAATATTACAAACCTTGATTTCACCAATTACTGACACACTAAGACCAGCATATAACTCTTTGGCCATAGAAGCTTCCCACTTAGGACTTTGTAAAGTAGCCTGTCAATTTGAGAGCTTGAAGGCACCACGGAGGATTTGATCCTTGAAACGAGCAAAAGCAAGGGTATGCCGTAAAATCCATATCACCATGACATAATTAAGAAGGTCTAGAATGAAAGTTGGCCAAGCAAGGAAAGAGTCCAGAGTACCTAGTCTACCAGTGACAGTAGGAGCAAGATCAGCTTGCTCTTGCTTCCAAGTCCGAGGTAGGTCCATTCCTGCCTCAATGGCCAGGTGTCGTTTTCAACAAGCTGGTTGGTCCTTCCCACCATTGCGATGCCGTAGAGGATGTAGTTGCTGTTCTTGCCGTGTACAAACATACCTCTGCAGAACTTACATCTGAAACCACAAGGGTCTTGCCCAGTCTGAGATGGAATGGTGAAGAAGGAAATAAAAAGAAGAATGAGAGAGAAAACAAAATGGAAAGACAAAACAATTAGAATGGAAACAAAAAGAACAAAACATGAAAATGAAGAAATGTAACATACCTCTTTCTTGACATGGACTGGAGCTTCATAATATTCAAAGAGTTGTCCCACTAGAGCACACTGTGCTCAACGTACTCCTCCTTCAGATATAATCTCAACATCAGAGCTTTGGATTAAATCAATGCAGTCTGGGACTTCCACGTCCTAAAATACGAATAGAGAAAGAGGTCAATCAAGATATGGTGATATTGTAAAGATTCTAAAAGATTAAAATGAAAATTAATGTCAACAGAAAGGCGCTTGCGCTTCTTAGCGGGTGCTCTAACCTTAGGTCGGATCTTGCCTTTTGACTTGAACATAGCCGGTACTTGACCCTCGGTCGCACCACGTTTTCCAGAATGGCTTGATTGAGCCTTCTTCTTGGAGGTCGTTGCCTTGCTTGATTGGGCTGGAAGTTAAACAATGCTTGAGTTATCCAACTTGTCAGAATCTTCAGATTCTGACTTGACTGACACTGACATGGTCTGATCAGATATTGATCCAGGGGACTGAGAAGGATGAAGCAAAGCACGGCAAGAATTGGGAGATTGGAAAATAAAGCCGGGGGATGGAAGAGCCAAAGTTTGATGACGACGGAGATTGTGAGACGAGTCAGGGGTATGTGAACTTGGTTCAATCTGAGTACCAGTGGTGGGTTGTAGAGACATTTTGAGTGATTGGGTGGTTGTGTTAAGATGGTAGTAATGAAACTGAGCAAAGGACGATATAATTGTAAAGACAATTAGTACAGCTACATACCACAAACAAAAACGACGTGGATGGGGAGAAAAAATACTCACCTCATCTCCACAGTATTTATTCTCTAGGTATGGTGAAGGGCTCCAGATAAATTTGGTTATCCGTATCAGCAATAGTCTCCAGCCGAGTTCCATCGGTGTTTCCATTTTTGATCTGTTCCTACCTGATGAATTCAAATAAGCAATGATATGTGATAAGAACAATTTGAGGAAAGTGAATCAACTCAGAAGAAACAAACTAAAGAAACTCACCAATGACCTCAGAGTTGTTTGTTGAGTATTTGAGGGTGATTCGAGTTCAATGAGTAATCATACAATAGTGAGAGACAGTGATAGTGATGTTTTCTGACATTCAAGGAAGCTGGTAACGTTTTGAAAGGAAGAATGAACTAAAGAAACAATCTAAACAATGTTGGGCTGTTGCGTTGCATTGTGAGCAACCGGCCGTTGCACGCAACACAACATATTGAAATCTCATGTTGAACCTCACAACGCAACAGGCAATTGCAAATCCCGTTGCGTTTCTGGCAACGCAGCGGGGCTTTGCTCACGTTTCACACATTGTTGCGCCCGTTGCACGCACTTCTAGCATGTCATTGATTCATAAACAAAACCATTTGGAATTGCACAATGGGGCATAGCGAGACAGTAAGAAAAAATATAGCATAAGAAGAAAAAAAAGGTCGGGCAAACATAATGACAATTGTAAAAAAAGAAACACAATCAAATCTGAAAACTCCTCCTAATTTATGTCCAGGTGCGTTTTCTAATTGGTTGACCAAGTTTCCAAGAAAGCTTTCAGGTTGAGGTTGAGTTTGTGGTTGAGGTTGAGTTTTGGTAGGGAATTTATCAATTGGAGTGTTTAAAGCAGATTTGAATCCAGAATTCTTGGATCCATTTGAATGACCATCAATTGAAGGAGTCAAAGTGATCAAATTCAGGTGGGTTTTTTCGATTTGTGAAGTTCGGTTTGTTCGGATTCAGATCTTGGGTTTACTACGATATCATCAACTCGGATATCATCTGGGTAAGTGATTGGATTGACTCAATCTGATCTGCTTGGGTTCTCTTCTACTTGAATGGCATCTGGTGCAGGGTTTGGGTTGGGTATATGTTCGTCAACTAGGAT